ATAACCCTAACCCTATGACAAGATATTATAGATAACCCTAACCCTATGACAAGATATTATAGATAACCCTAACCCTATGACAAGATATTATAGATAACCCTAACCCTATGACAAGATATTATAGATAACCCTAACCCTATGACAAGATATTATAGATAACCCTAACCCTATGACAAGATATTATAGATAGTAACTATGACACGATAACAGATATAGTACGACAGGCACCATCTTGCCATGGATGACAGCATGACATAGAACACTGCATCTGAATACTCTATTTTTGAATTTAAACTCAATTGAGTTGCCACAGTTACTTGATCCAACTCTAACCACGCTTCTCAATGAAAAAATTTCCTCAACATACCTCCCTTTTCTTGGCTTCATTCCGGTGGTATTTTGCAAACACATAAGAAAAGAAGTTTCCACAGCAGCAAGCAACATGTACAAGTGGTCCTTCTTTACCAAGACTGAGACCAGCAGCTACTGCTAACATCATAGACATTGACTTGACCATTAAGGTTATCTTACCAAGATATCCACGGATGATAAACCCACTGAGAATGGTCTTTATCTGATAATATAATAACTTTATAAGACTATATTATATCCTACTGAGTAGAATTACTGTATGAGAACATCTAAGGCTCAAGGTCATGACATATGGATCATGCCTAATAAGGCTTTTACAAAATATTTCAGAGCAAAATATTTTCCCATATAAGCTGACCTCAGTCAATAAGTACTTTATTGCTGTTTTAGTTTCTGGATGCCAGGTATAAATCTTGGAGTAAATTCAGGTTTTCAAGACCTGCATGCACCCCCAATCAGGCCAGCACTTTCTAAATGTTTTCTAAGAAAAGGAGTGGGCCCAAATAGGAATATTATAAAATAAAAATATCAACTGAATATTAATGACTCTGCTAAACCAAGACTGTCAATCATTATTTAACCATTATTTACAGTTATGGCCAGCAAATGCGAGACACACAATTGATCCTCTATCACACAGACACTGAAGGTTGCAAAGGTCGCATATGGGGGACTCCCTTATAAACGTTGGTAGGTATGCTCGACGGACCTTTTAGTGTCGAAAAATAAAAAAACCTTGCGAATCTTTTAGGGTCCTGAGCTGACTCCATACCTTTTAGGGTCAATTTTTGAACAACAGGATAAAAAATTGAAGAAGTATTATATTAACCTCAACAATCTATCGCCATTCATTTTCTACAGTTTGTTAAACTTGAGCTTTTCTCTTGTTAAAGAGACGTCAAAATGTTTGTACCTTTTAGGGTCTGGAATCGATACCTGAATTCATTTATGTGTACCTTTTAGGGTCATTTTTCAATCCATCCGTCAAGTATACATACCAACTTTTATAATTGAGTTCCCCCCACCCCCCCTAACACAAGGTGTACATCATACCTCAGGGATCCCACTTCCACATGCATACGGTGCAATCCATCTGACAAGTACCACAGCTAAACATGCAAATCCTAAAGCACTCAATACATAAATGAAATAATTTAGGAAGTACACGCCAGTACCACTAGCTGCGCCGGTAAACACTTCACCCCATGTCTTCCACTGTTGACATCCAGCATCATCGAAAGTATTGTCATCAGACCAACAACAAGCTTCCTTATTAAACCAGAAATTCTCTGGACAAATGCCTAGTTTAAGGTCTGTCATCCAGCTAGCTCCAATATCAATTACTCCTGCACTCAAACCAGCAGCCAATCCAACTAGAAAGACAACGAGCCAGCCTCCCCAAGCATCATTAGCCTGTTTGATACGGTCCCATAGGTTACCGTGTTTCAAACGTTTCATACGACGAAACCTTGTCCTATCTCTTTGTCTGTCTCTAACCCAGTCAATGGTGTGAAAGTCATCATATTGAGCGAAATCGTCCGGTCCATCCATAAATAAATCACTAAAATCTTGAGCGACCCTAAGGTTAGTTCCTCGGACTATTGGAGACTCGTCGTTGAATTCAACTCGTAGATGATCCATCCGAGTAGACATCGAGTCGTCATCCGTTGAGCCATCAGAAGAAAACCGTATTCGTTGCATGGTGTGTTTTTAATGAAGGAAAACTCGGATTTTTATGGAGAATGTGGAGAAACGTTGCTCATGACATGATGTTAAGGTTCCGGTCTGCCTAGGTAACCTCGCTCAATCAAAAATGAAAGTTTAAAAAAAATCTATTTTCAATCTTTATTTTGAAAACAATAACGTTTTGTATTGTCAGTGAGTACTTAACAGAACAGCACTTCTTTCACTTCTTTTAAAATGTAGATACGTGATCAGTTTCCGCGCAAAGTTATCTTTTAATTGAACTTCAATGCATAAATTAATTTCTCGTAGACGGCTAGGCTACCCAGCGCGGTTCCAGAACAACAAGAGTTTGTTCGAAAATATGTCGGGTTTTGGAGCAGATAGCTCGGTGAATATCGACCAAGATTTCTTCGATAGTGGATATTCCTATAACAGTCAAGCTCAGGAAAACCAAGATTACGGAAATGAGCAGCCATTTGATTATTCCCAAGGCTATTCACAATATGAACAGCCATCTGGAGCTTACAGCTACTACAACCCTTCGGACTATGGTGCTTCTGGACCAACGTCAATGAACTCTGGGTCAGTTGACTATGGATTTTCTGGTTCAATGCAGGCTAGGCAAACTAGTGAAGATTATACGACGTTTGGAGACGAGCCTCCTTTGCTTGAAGGTAAGCATTTGGTAGTAGTTAATTCGCTATTTTATGAATTTTAATTGAATGAATATGGTTACGGCACTTAACTTAAGTTATAGACGTGGCAAGGAAGTAGTACTCTTTTTCACTCTCAAATTTCAGTAACGTTGTAAACGGATATTGCTACACTTTTTCTGTAATAATCTTTCTACTTGACTTGATTGTTTTGTACTTTTCGTTGCAGAACTTGGAATAAACTTTGAGCACATTTGGCTAAAGGTAATATTCTAAGTAATGTTTGGGTCAGACATAGCCAGACAGGCAGGCATAGGGTCAATATTGACTGCTAAGAGACATGAAAACATGAATTATAGTATAATGTAAAGTAGCAAACTGATTTGTTTGTCTTCCTGTCTACTGTAATTCTATTCTGAGTACAATTTAATGTACAACAATAAAATCTAAAAAAACAAGGAAGGCTTCTCATAGTATAGATGAGAAGATGGTCTAGAAAAAGTAGCTTGGGAGAAACTGCAAATAACAAAATCATTGTAACTGCCAATTTTTGTGAACCAAGTTGTTTGTTCAAGCAAAGCTCATTGATATAAGCTGAGGATTTTGAGGTGACTTGATTGACACATTTTTAACCAGCACCATACATGGGATACTTGTATTTTTGGTGTCAGAGAGGTTCGAATTCTAATATTCATATACTTGTTTTGTAGACCTTATCTGTCATAAATCCACTACAACCAACTGATGCAAATATTATGGATGATACTGATCTTGCTGGACCATTAGTCTTCTGTCTTGCTTTTGGAGGTTTCTTGTTACTGGTAACTATTTTAAGTTGTTTGCAAGCTAAAAAACAATTAAATAAACTTCAACTTAAACTATGAACCAATCAGTCTTCCTTCCAAGTTTCTTCTAAATCAAATAATGTTTTCAATTTTGTATTTTTCAAATTGGAGTTACATAAACAAAAATGTTCCAGACATATTTCAGGTGCCAACTTTTCTTTACATTGACTATTAAGACTACCACTAGAAAATCCTTCCCAATTTTTTCATTGATTGTAAGAGTAAGGTTCTCGCACATATACCTATTTCCTCGTTTCTTGACAGTCAGGAAAAGTTCATGGATTTGGATACATATATGGTGTTGGTGTTCTCGGATGTTTATCTCTTTATTCAATTCTGAACTTGATGAGCATGACTGGTGTTACCTTTGGCTGTGTCATAAGTGTTTTAGGTTATTGTCTTTTACCAATGGTGTTATTGTCCAGTATCTCCATATTGATATCATTACAGTAAGTTGTCCGTTTTGTCTCTTATTTTACTAGTCAAATAAGATAATGTAACCTGTCAACAGGAGAGGTTGCCTTTGTCTCTCCTTCCTTCCAACATTAAATGTCCATCACCATCCCTCTCCAAGGATGATATGCCTTTTACCTATTTCTTTCTTTGCCAGTAATTAATTGATGCACTTTTTTCCACAGGGGTATGGTTGGTACAGTGTTAACAGCTGTCACTATTGGCTGGTGCAGTTTATCAGCATCCAAACTGTTTGTAGTTGTTTTAGCAATGGACTCACAACAGCTGCTTGTAGCATATCCATGTGCTTTGCTATATGGAGTATTTGCATTATTGACTGTTTTCTAAATAGATAGCTTATTAATATAACACTCTTTATGAGGTTAGAAGTATAGTCTCTCAAGTAGAACCAAAAGAAAATATTACACAGTAGTAATGAACCTCATGTTGGCGCACGTCTTTAAAATGAGAGTTGACTGAACTAAATAACTTAGATGTTTTCAATGTGATGATACTACTTTATGCTCCTCCAGGACCTCTAGTGTCTGTTAAAGTTTGACAGTAAATTATACTGATCTAATGGAACTCTAGTTTTACACTCTTCATGAACATGTATGATGATCGAAGTGACAAAATGAAGATTTATATAGTTTTTTGTACAAAACCAATGAACAAGGATAATATAATTTCATGTAAAATGGATTCAGAGTATAAAGTATATAATGTGGTGAATTATTATAGAAGAGAAAGTTTATATATTGACATTTTCAATTCTGTTTTTTTTTTTTAATAAAACTACCACAACATGAGAAACATGGATGGCACAGTAAAAGCTCCAGCCTTTCTCAGTATCACAGTTGAAATCCTGGTCAGGGGGGCCATTGACTTTGTAGCCAGTCCTTCCTCTTGCTCCAAGGGTTTTTCTCCAAGCTCAGTGACATTCCCCACAGCCCATGCTCAGGAAGTCTTTTTGTAAATACCCAGTGAAATTAAAATAGCATGCAACACGATACAACCTTGAATTACTTTGTTTTTATTGTTTTCAGACTAAGATATATGTACAATGATATCTACAATGGATGTTTTATTGATGCTAGTGAACAATGTATACAATTCAAAGTACCTTAATGAACCTTGTCTTGCTAATGAGTTTGCCAACAACATTCAATGCCAGGTAATTTGAATGCCAGGTAACTTGGCAAATTGTTGTCCTAAGCTGGACAAGAGTAGATAGTCTATATTCACTGAGCAGTTTCATATTGAAAGGCAGTAGTTTGCCTTTCTTCCATAGTGTAAAAAGTGCAGTGAGAGATTTCACACTACAAAGTCAGTCAAATTTTATTATTTTTTTCTTAAATTAATGACGAAATTAAATGTCTTACATACCTATGAATACTAATATACACCTAATTGAAGAATTGTTGTCGGATCCAAAAAGGTCAAATCATAGAAGCCAAGACCAAAAGGGTACTTGGGAAGACAAACAATTTGGCTAATTTCATAACAAACAGCTCTCCAGCATAAAAGACTATCATGCTGTTAATCTTATTAGCTCTACTTGCTTAGTATACACCGTATATATGCAAATGTAATCCCAATTTAGTGGTACTCAAAATCCCTTTCAGTCTTAGCTTCTATGATGTGACCTTTTCAAACATGACTACGTTTTTTCAATTAGGTGTATTCATTTCATTGTTTAGCGACTTCAATTTCCTTCACTGATCTTGAAAGTATTCAATATCAGCTACGCAAGTTCTTCTAGGTTGACCAAGGTAATACAACAAAATAATGAATATTGCCCCTTGGACAACCCAGCTGTGCTTACTGATAAACAAAATGTCTTTGGATTTGAAACCATTAGAGAGTTGGGAGCTGGATGGGCAAATCAAACTCACACAACTTTCCAAAGCAGACAGAAAATAATGTAAATTGCCTAGTTTTATATGAAATATCAACCTTGGTATACTCCATCTGTATTTAATTCAACAACCCAATACACCAATACAAAATTTGGTGAAACTAGATGTGGTCTTAGATACTAAAATATTTGTATTCCTAGTCCATAACATTTTGAAATCTGGCAATTTCAATGTCTTTTTTAAGTGCAAATGTCTTTTTTAAGTGCAAGGTGTGTAAAGCTTTTGCTACAAAAATTAAACTGTCTATATTTGCTTTCAAAGTGCACCCTGATGGCAATAAAATATGTTTCCTGTATAATCAATGAAAATAAAGATTTCAGAGTGGCTTTCTGAAGAAATGCACAGTTACTGTTAGTAAACAGTATTTTTCAGTCTTATGTTCATAATAATTATGACTATTGCAGAGATAGGAAACATGTTTAATAAGCCACAGTACTTTTGTACTAAGTTTTTTTTCCTGCTTTGAAATTAATATGACTTTCTTATGTTTTTCCCTTATGTTACCTTTGCTTATGGTTAATTGTAGGTAATAATTTGTAAATATCAAGTACAAAACAGAATAACATTAATATCAAACTTGTGCTATATTTCATCAAAAACCTTTTGGACAATTTTTTTTTTGTCTTGGCTTTACATTATTCTTACAAGTGCAAAGAAAAACTAATAAAGTGCATAGCTCTCTTTGACTAGTCAGGGAAGGGTTCATACTTTTTTCAACGTTTCACATGATTAAAATAGAAATGCAGGTATTCTTTTATTAGATATTAGAACTGGCTTTCTTATTATTACTGCCACTGTTCAGACAATTGGCACAGTGGTTTTGCATCAATGATAGTATCCAATAATATCATTGGCAGCTGTCATTATTGTATTATTGAATTTTCGAAACCAGTCTCAGCCCTAGTATTATTACTTCGATTGTTTTGGTCCTCCCTAATACTTGTGCAATGTCCTCTCAACTCAATGTCAGTTTACCAAGGTCAACCAATCTTGAGGAATATACTGCGAAAAGCATATTACATTACCAATTTAGACCAGCTGGAATGATAAGATTAACATTATTAAGTATTCACTGAAGATCCAATCAAGTTTGATGTAGAGTTATCACGTTCATCTCGTTCCCAATTAACATCTGCATTTACTTGAAGAATCCTAGCAGCAGAATCAGCACTCCCTGTGGAGGAAAGCACAACATTTTAGAGAAATGTAAGGATATAGAGCTGATTTTACAAAGATGTTTTTAAAAGTTAACTTTGTTCTTAAAGACATATGCATCAAAACATTATAAGGAGAACTGCGAACATACAGCAATAAATATCAAATGGAAAGGGAATGCCGCTACACTATTTGACATACAAAATTTCACTTGTTGGGTTCACCTTGCATGAAAGGTTGTAGGATATAATGGCAAAGGACATTGAGATTGCATCACACAACTAATAACTGATTTCTATTGTATAGTCTGTGACAACATTTAGTCTTCATTTCCATGCAAACTGAACCGAACAAGTGAAATTTAACTTAAACTGTGTAACCATAGACTGAGTCTTGGTCATGCAATCTCCCTTTGACTATCGCCATTTAAGGAATAAAAAACAGTTTTCCGTGTATTATACTCTCATAAAAACACGCGGGATGTGGGGAGAACATGAGAGAAGCGTAGGAAACCACAACGCGAAGCTGAGCATACATTGATTAACATCATACAATAGTTTATTATTTGACTACTGATCGGCCTGCTCACATTGTTATGATTTTGGAATTAGCTATGATATGACATCAAGTACCTGAGCTTTCACCATCAGTGCTTTGTCTTCTCTGTTGTATATCTAGTGGAGTACCTTCTATATCACCAATGAACACAACTGGGTTATCAGCTGCATTCTGATGATCTTCAGGTTCAGGTTCTATTGTAGTGGTTCCTTCAGTTTCCACAGTAATCCTTGGATTTGGTGGACTTGGCTATGAACAAATTATAACATTTCATGAGTCATATCGATAAGAATAATTACTTCTTTGTAGGCAGTGATGATTGCCTTGATGCAAGTTTCTTTAGCCTACTTGTATTTTAACATTGATTGTTTGACAGACACATGACAGCTGTTAGCTTGGGTCCATCAAACCAGTCCCCAAAAATAATACTTAGGCTAATATGAGAAAGTGTATGAACTTGCACGATAATGATACTTTAATATATTTAATACATTTTTAATAAACATGATATTATATAAATGACTACCGTATTTACCCATGTATAAGCTGCTCTCGTAGATAAGCCGCACCCCGAGTTTTGGGAATGTTTTCGAGGAAAAAAAGACGGAAAATAATCTTTTCTCTTTTTGATCGCCACTTGCGAACACTTTTGAACGCCACTTGCAAACACAGCTTTCTTTGATTTTAAAGTGCTTTTCCGCCGCTCGATTGCCGTGATCCATGCATTTCGTGTGCAATTACAATCAGTTTATTTAACGTGGGGTGTATGATGATCTTGGAGACATAATTGTTAAGATTGATAATTGATACTATATTTAAAGAGTTGTTTTTCATTCAAAAGGTAAAAGCAAACTAGTAATTAACTTGAGTGATATAAATCTCATCGTGCCGTCAAACTTCTAAACATATTCTAAACGTTTTGTATTTCAAAAAAATATTAAAGCAGATTGTACAATTTCTTAGGCTTATTTCTTGGGTTATCAAAATATTTACCATGGATTCTTCACTTTAAGTGTGACAAAGTCGCTTAAATGAACAATGCAAATTAGCATCGCGCTACCAAAACAACTCCAAGACAAAATGATTGAAAGTTCATTGGCTCAATAACCACGCACTTTTCAGTTTGATTTATTGACTTGTTTCTCAGAGCTAGATTTTCGGAGATAGTAATACTGAGAAGTTTGGGTTAAAATTTCTGTTCCCGCCATGTAAAACAAACTTATCACATTACTGATGTCCTGTCTGCAGTAAGTAGGACCGTGAATGCTAATTTAAGCAAATTTAGTTTTTATCGGGTATTTTTAGAAGTCTTCTCGTAGATAAGCGCACCGCCTATTTGGGAACGATTTTTTTGGAAAAAAAGTGCGGCTTATACATGAATAAATACGGTATTACTGATCAAAACTTAAATAAAATAATTTAAGAAATTCAATGTTTGTTCCAGAAAGTCGTTAAAAATAAGAGGGCAATCAAGCAGTAAGAATATCATTGAAAACTTCTCATACTATGAAAAAACTCACACAAGTAAATTACATTTTAGTGAAACCAAGCATTACAGTAAATGAGTAATTTTGGTTAATGTTGCATCAATTGAAAATTGTTTTACTGTGATTCTCATACCACGGGCTTTAGGAGACTCCTTGTTTCGAGTCGTGAGAAATTCTTGTTCATGGAAAAAATAACACCCTATTTACTTACTTGAGTCTTTAATTGCTAGTCAAATAAGCTTGTGATGAATAAACATGAATTTATGGTCTGCTGAGTCCATTATCTTTCCATATTTATAGTAACAGTTAACGACTAACCTCGCGCCATTTTGAATTATACACTGGTATTCACCAGTCCTACCGTCCGATCAAATTGCGTGGTTCCCTAGCTAAAACTCAACCGCCAAACATAAAAACCCCCAGGGTAGGCCCTAAGTGGGCGTTGCCCACCTCTCTGCCAATGGGATCGATGGATTTTGTACCACGTGATCATTTTGAATCGTCCAAAGCTTGATGCAAGCTGTGTCGTCATCTAAAATTTCGCATCGGGGTCACAAGTAAAATGCTTACTAATAAGTTCTTCATCTCTGTAAAAGAATATCCAATAAACGAAGTTCGAAATTAATCTGTACGTAAATAACGAAATTCAAATTTTTAAAATTAACGATAAATCGATCAGTTTAAGTTGTATTTACATGCTATCCGCCCAAAAGCACCATTCATTATTCTTCGCTTGCAAAGTTATCAGCAAAATTATCTTGTAACTACTCACTTGACTATTTTTTCAGCTGTAATCCTTACGGAAAACTTCTCAAAACAAACGGATTTGTATTGGATTCAAGGGGACAGGGTAGTTTCCTTATATGGGTGAAGGGGACAGGGTAGTTTCCTAATATGGCGATGACGCGTCATTAGCTAGCATTGAGGATTGAACGATGGATTGGCACTTAGGGCCTACCCTGGGGGTTTTTATGTTTGGCGGTTGAGTTTTAGCTAGGGAACCACGCAATTTGATCGGACGGTAGGACTGGTGAATACCAGTGTATAATTCAAAATGGCGCGAGGTTAGTCGTTAACTGTTACTATAAATATGGAAAGATAATGGACTCAGCAGACCATAAATTCATGTTTATTCATCACAAGCTTATTTGACTAGCAATTAAAGACTCAAGTAAGTAAATAGGGTGTTATTTTTTCCATGAACAAGAATTTCTCATGACTCGAAACAAGGAGTCTCCTAAAGCCCGTGCTCATACAATAAGAAATGGACAATATTTTTCATTAGAGCTTTAAAAATAAATAGATATACCATATAAATACATGTACCTAACCACATGTACATCATTTTTATATCTATTTCATAAATACTGTTGATGCCGGAATCCAGAATATTAAATGCTATGTTGTGGATGAAAAGTAAGATCTTAGAGTATACATACCACTTCAAGCTCTCTCAAGATGTTAAGTTTACACATTGGACAAGTTCTGTGTTCGACAAGCCAAGGATCAATGCATATTTTATGGAACTCATGCCTATGAACAAAAATTAAAGGAAATGTTTATAGCTCTTGCAGGCGATAATATGCTATCCCCATCAATGCGTACTATGACATTGGGATGAGAAAAATGATAAAAATAATAATAAAAAAACGGAGTTAACAAAAGTGCAATAAGATTTATATTCTATACAAACATTTTAATGTTTTGAGATTGAGCATCAATTCATGGTTCCAACAAATGAAGCGCGAGCTTACGATTAGCCAATCAGAAAGTACGGGAATTGAACACTTGCAGCTTGTTTGGCTTGACCCACAAATGCTTTCAAAATTTTGTAAATGACAATATGCAGTCTTCCGACGATTTGTCGGTAAAATTCCTGATAATATTTCTGTTTCTTTTGTTAAAAACATTTAAGTCTATCTGAGAAAGTCATAGAGAAAGGACTGAATTATTTTTATTCGTTTAAAATTTAGCACTTCATACTTTCATCCGCACATCTTCATCCATTTCAAGCATTTTTACTTACTGACAAGGTAATATTCTTATTGTATCTCCACCTTTGTAGCTATCTAAACAAACAGGACATCCATCCATTTCTTCTTCCTCATCCTACAAAATAATTATACATTGATTGAATTTCTCAAATGTTAGCTTGACTTCTTGTTTTGTCTCAAAGTCTTCTATAATAGCCTCCTGTAGCAATGCTAACCCTGTGCCATCATGCAACACTACTCCTTCTGTGGGGAGTATCGTGTGATGACATGGAATGCTAAAAGGAAGACTAAGTGGTTTAGAGCTTGAAAAATGATTGCTTACAATGCTAAATATAACCTCTACCTTCTTACTGACAGTTCGAGTTGATAACTTAGCAATAGCCTTCTTAGCTGCAGATGTCAGACGCTTCTGTAAAGATAAAGCAATTTCCAACACTTAGATTAAACCTACTGAATCTTCTAGTAATTTCCAAAAAAAACCCCAAGATAACAATTTAAAATTTACATGACATTGCTTTAATAAAAGCAAATAAATCAATTATGGATTTTATCAATATTGTCCACTCTGTGATTATGCTTTTAAATTCTTTGAGAAAAACAATAGTCTTCAAATACTATAGTCAAAGTTCTCTAACATTTTGCTGTGTCACAAATAATTAAATTCTTGTTCCAGAAGAATCATGCATAGTAATGTATTTGGTTTCAACAAGGCATCAATTTAACAAATCATTTCAATCAACACATATTATCAAGCTAGCCTGTTTTATGTGTTTTTCCAGGTGTGATGATGAGTATAGAGAATCCAATTTTCAACAGAACATTTGGATACATTATAAATTTAATCTTTTATCATTGGAGGTATTCTATGCCTCTGGTATCAATGGGGGTTGAAATTCATCTGATTTTAAATTTGATAAAACACTCAAAAGCAACACTGCGAAAATCCTGACAGCTTATTATTGTCATCGTCATTATAGGCAGTAAATTAATGATATGTAAACTGAATTTCTGTTTAGCCTGCTGCTAATATTAATTAACATTCCTTAGTGAGTTATTCTTTAGTTAGTATGTAGAATATAAACAACCTTTCTATTCTAGTTAAAACACTAGATCTCAAAGAGTCTTGAAACTATCATTAACAGAGTGTTTGTCTTCCAACTGACCATAATTCAGTCAAATTATTTAACAAAAGCTAAGCTGCACGCAATAATTATCCGTTTATCCAAAACTACTGGCAACCTTAGTTTAAAGAGGGACTTTTACATAGGAATCGTATGTTTTTTTTTTTGTTTTTTTTTTTTGAGAATAGTGTAATAAAGTGTGCGAGTTTACTCCTTTAACATCCAATATCCTACACAAGCGGTGTCACGATCACGAATAAGTAGTAATATGAGTAGGTGGATGGTTAACAAATAACTCATTTTTGCCGAAATTATATTTCGCTCAAAGAAAAATATGCAATCAGGCAAACACACTCTATTTCCCTCCATTAAGCACCAATTGTTTCGTAAAACTAGATAATCGAAAGACTATACATCACTCATAATTCAGATCCGTCGGTTTGACGTCATTCGGAACAAGGAGATGTTGTCGACAATAATTTCGTCATAAACTAACTCAAGACGCATTGATGTCAAAAAATGAGAAATATAAAAACGTTATTTCTCAATGCTTAAACGAAAACTTTTGTTTGAATAGGCGTATATCAATATGCCAAAAGGTTTAGTTATACTTCACGCTTTTCACTGCTTGTAATAATAAGAGATTGTTAGCTCTGCTTACCTCGGTTTTATCGCGAGCGTGGACATAACGAAATCTCTGTACGTAATAAAAGACAAGCCAAGCCAAGGAAATAACCATAAGAACAATAAATGAAACAGAGACAAATAGAACCGATGTAGGATTAACTTGCCATTTTGTTTCATAAGGTCCCTTACTTATTTCCACAAATATTGTTTTGTTGTTTTCAATCATTTTAACTAAGCTTTCACCCAAATTCTTCTTAATACTAACAGATTCAATAGCCCGAGAATCAAAATTGTTCATAACTGGCAATTCGGAATCTTCGTTGTCGTAGATTATAATGGCACTTGCGTTGTGTTTTTCGGCGTTTCGGATCTTATCGTCGAATCGACACGATCCTCTTCGAACGAGAGCAATCCATGGTTTGATGACTTTTATGTTAAAAAAATTGCATCCATGCTTGTTAGAATTACTGAGTTTATACAACCAACCAACAGTATGATCCATGGGACTATGAACACCGAAATTCCCATCTTCAGAAAGAGCAATAAAGCGCTTCCCCTTCTCGTTCAAAACCGTAATATTCAGTTTAGCCATGGTATACTTTGTCTGCTCTTTCTCTTCATAAAAACACGTTACAAAAACCACATGAATCGCCAACAAAGTCCACAACTCTCCCAAGAACTTGATCGACAACATAATCTCACAAATATTAAAATCTGTACAGGTATAGATTTTTCGTTTTTGAGGACAAATATTACACCTCAGTTACACAGCAACAACTATTGCTCTACCACACTTCCGCCATGTTCCTCTTATACAATAACAAGTCACGTGATCAAACTCCGCCTGAACACGTCACGTGATAGCTGATGCGGTTTCTATTCTACAAAGAAAAGCCCCAAAACTGGATAAAACACTTATATACTAGTAATATGCAAATTTCAAGAGCATATTTTTTGAGCACACTGTAGCCTGCGTGGCGGCTCTAGGGGAGGGGGGAAGGGAGAAAACGGAAGGGGAGGGGGGTTGAGCGCTGATTTAAACCAATCAGGAAGCGCGGCGTCTGGAGGCCGCTAGTACACGATTTAGCGAGTACACCCCCCTTCCCTTCCGTTTTCCTCCTTCCCCCCCTCCCCTAGAGCCGCCACGAAGGCTAAGCACACTGATAATTTCAGGCACAGCAACCAGCACCACCCTCCAGTTGATCTGCCATCGATTTTCATGAATTCTTTTACAGAAACCAAAAGAAACTAGCCTGTATAGCAGCTCTCTTACGATACCAGTGCTGCTATGCAGGCAAATACACTGTTTAGTGTGTTATGAGAAAGCTTGATACTATGATAAATACAGTTAATTACACAGTTGTGTCAGAAGAGTATATATGGAATATACTATTTATTTTAGTTAACTAAGCTCCTCACAGCTGGAGGCCCATGAACACACACCTATCAGATCAATAAAAAATCAGTAAAATGGCAAAATTCTAGTCTCAACAGTTTAAAACTTCAAAAATCATCAGCAGCAAATGTGAAATCTTAAATTTCTAATTAAAGACAAGCCTTGCTCTCCCAATTCTATTTTTACATAAGCTTCTTAGAAAAAAGTTGATTTTCTACTTGCTGTCATTTTTTCAAGCATTTATCGTCAAGACGTTAAACTGTCTTTGGATTCTGATCTCCTCTTTCAACTCCTTGGCATCAATTGGCCTTTTCCATCAGCAACAAATGGTCTATTGCTACATTTATTCCACTTCAAAGATATGGAACGCTATACTTTGATACGACTCATAGTTTCGGACAGCGTGGAGAAATGGGGGTTAAGTTCAATATTCATTGTTGGAATTCAGGGAGGTACAGTGGGGTTGCCTCAAATCCCATGAGTGTTACTTACTGAATTCCAATTCTATAACATAGTGGTTACCCATCTTAAGATGGGAGTAACCACAAAAGCCAATCAAGGTCTGGAAACAATCATGGAATTCATTTTAAATCTCCAGCTCTCATGCACATTTATTCTTCCCAAAGACTGTGTACCAGTTAATTATTAGTAACATCTTTATGTCATATTGAACACAAAATTACGGCTTTTACTTTGCATATTTGAGCACAGGTTACGTAATTCAATAGAAACAAAGGGTTCCAACAACTGACCAGAATCTAAACAATACCCCAAAAAACAATGAACCCTAACCAGAATACAATAGATTCCGGTACACAAAGAAAGGCCCAAAATTACTCCAACACAAGAAAAGAACAAAATGATAATAACCAAAGAACCATCCCCAAAAATTGTGAAAAGTCATGATTTCCAGGATTGTATCTGTAGTAAAAAAAAAATTAATTAAAAGGAGTTTTAAAACGAGTTTTGGATTGATTAGGGGCTTTATAAACACACATCAAATTTAAGAAGTTTTCAGGGAGTTTTAGGAGTAGCAGGTCCTCTGCTTACATATTCAAATCATACCATTGCTGTTGTGCCAAAAATGATATTTAAGTGTTTTTCATTAACCTGTGAAATACAGCTTAGCATACTAATACAGTAACATTTTATAGTTCTTTTTTTGCACATTCTTCTTTGTTCTTTTTTTGTGTGATTACATGTTAGTTACTGCATTTTGGCTATGTTTCATGGGTTAATGAAAACTACTTTTATAAAAGTACGGTATGTGGAAATCTCTACAATAGTAACAATTAGGATGGATTATTATGTTAAATAAACCAAACTCCAGAATCAAGATGATATTCTTTATTACACATTTTCAGTCATCCATGGCACTAGTCCATTGCAACAACAGTGGTTTTCTCAGAAACATAGATACCATCCAAGAACTTTCTGATGTCTTTTCTTTTGACAAGTGTTGATTGATGGATGAGAGCAGCTGAAATGCAGGCAAGCATAATTAGAATAATCAACTCAATTCACATTTCATTAGCAACGAATTGGACAACTTGAAATAATTAGAAACAACAGTTCTTTCAAATATACGAACAAAAGTGTAATGGAATAAAATAATGATAGTGTAAAAAAGTGTAAATATATCACAATATGCTTTTTTAGCACTTTTCAATGAATGCTAAATATTTTTATGTGGGTTTCCAGTGGAAGCTCACTTCTAAAACTGTCAGTGGACTTTTCTCCATTATGAATATTACGCTTCAAATTTGTAGTGCCTGCGTTGCAGATGGTCTGCAGTATCTCAGTTTCTATGGGGACGTCAAACTAAACTACCAATCCCTGCTTATTTTCATTTTTGACATGTATTGTTAATTGTACATCAGTTGACCCCTTGGCCTGATATCTACGGCTTCACTTTGACAAAACTGTGGTACTTAGTTCAGTTCAGTCAAAAATTAAGATGTGGTAAAGATGTAAATTACTAATATTTACTTAATTCCATCTTGAGTCCCAGCTACAGGAATCCCATGTAAAGTGATCTATGATGGTCTATATTATATTGATGTTCTTATGTGCTAATGGGTCAACTAATAATATAACAACCAATAATAAAAACAATCCAAACTAATGGCTTTCTTTTTTCATGATATGCACAAACACCAATATCTCTTATCAATCATTTCTTATGATTTTTTTTTATTCTGGAGTTTCTTGTACAATCATGTTGCAATTGATTGTAGTCAATGCATGTCATTCATGCTGTACTAATACCTCTTACACCAATTAATTGATGTAATAATTATGGTGGTGTAAAAAACCTTATTCACAAATGTTTACAATGGATGTCACAAAACATTGGACACTTGGTTTATGAAGTTTACAAGTTGCCAAGTTCATGGCAGACTTACTTACTTAGTATCAATCAACATTCACATCAGCAAAATTCACACAGACATCAAACAGAATTCTGCATGAACTTGTAAATTGAGAATGAACTTCGTAAATATAGTAGCCAATGTTTTATGAAATCCACTGCAATAATAATTAAGACTCATTTTAATTTATGAATTCACTCTAGCACTTTGTGTACTGTCCAGTAGCCCTTCCCCTCCCCCCTCCCCCCACCAAAAAAAAATCATTACTCACCAGAGTTTGATACAAGTTCTAAATCATTGCCATCGAGAGTGATCTCATCTTTGACACCTGGTGAGTTGTAACAGCTAACACCATCTCTCATACGAACTCTTCTGATAATCTTCTCACCCAAAAAGTTTCTGATTTCTACAAGTTTTCCATCTTCTTGAATGGTGATGTTGATAGGAAAATGAGCATAGACTGAACGCATCTTGTATCTGAAGCCCTTAAATGACAAAGAAATAAACATTTGATGTTAAAAAAATCTTTTTTTGGAGAGATACATGCACACAGAGTAGAGTATTGAACTTCTACATCACAAGGCTGTAACAAAGGTGCCTTGAAAAAGGACAGAAGCTTCAATAACCCACTGATTAAAAATGCATGACTTAAATCATAGTTAATGGTTGGCAATCAATCATATTTTTTTTTCAATTAAGCACATAAACAAAAGCATTTCATTACTTGAAAATGCAACATTAACACAAGAAAAAGAAGATCCTTGTATTGATGGTGTTTTGTCTAGTAACAAGACCCATAGCTTTTCATAGTATTGTGCATTTTATGCTTTTGCATGCATGTACATGCACATTTACTAGGGTAGTTGTTATTTTTCTTTGCAAAGAAGCTTTATATCGGCACAAAACAAAAGATTCATACTCTTTTTGAACTAAAATCCATTGTTCTGCTGCATTCACATAAACTTTAATGGGTACATTCCCCTACTTACATAGATGACTCCCTTGATCATATTCTCAATATGACTAACAATGGTTTTAACACAGGCCAACTCTTTTCGAGAAGCAAACCACACATCAACTCTTATTTTGTTCTTTCCGACTTTTGTCAACTCAAGTCTCAAGTGACGGAAGTTGCGCTTTAAAGTTCCCCTGGGACCTTTAACTGTGACCACACGGCTCTTAAGAAATACCTGGACTGTATACAATAAAATAATATAATGCTAGAGTAAGGATGCGAGGGAGAAAACAACATGTCTATGAACAATAACAGAACATTGCTGTCATCATCAAAGTGGAGCACATATTACTTGTCAATTAACTTACAATCTTCAATATAAGTTAAATACTATAGAAAAACAAAAATATATATAACATAGATATGGCTGATTGACATTACCATCGTCCGGGATTTCCACTGTCTGTGATGCCAAAGTTGTCTTCATGGCTAGAAACAGCAATAATCAGTAAGGTATGATACAATGATTTTACGTGTATTGCCTTATATAAGCTTAACTCTTTCTTTCACAACACTTGCTAGTATAGTAAGTTACTTCAGTTTAATGTTGTTTCATCTGTAGATTTTTGTGTTAAAACACTAACTACTACATTTAATTTGAGACAAAAGCTACGTCTAACTAGACTAGCGTCACTAGACACTTAAAAGATGATGTGAAGCTTATAGATATTTCTACTTTGAACGACACAATCACACAATCCTTCGCCATTGAAACATCACTGGAAATATGAAAAATTTTGGCTTTAAAATGCAAATAATTTCAAAATAATAAAGATATCATATAGATCGTTTATTTCTTAAAAATTACTCAAATTGTGGGATTCTGATGAAATGAATAACAACCTAAAAATATCGGATTAAAATGGATAGTTTGCCCCAACCTGAGACCTTCGAACGAAGATGGCTAAGAGGAAGACCGAGAGCCTCGTTCCAACTTTAGACCCCAATCCCCTCACAGAATTTTTCCCCACGGGACTCCCCCTAGAGAAAAAGGAAAGGAATAAAACACAGTGAAAATTCTCCATTTCTTGACATAGTCCAATACCTATTCATATTCTACCAACCACATATGAAAATTTTACTGAAAAGAGATTTCTATCAGTATAAATTCATTTGAAATGCGTTCTTTAACAAGAAAACAGTAGTGTACGATAATTACGGTGCCCTCCCCGGTGAGTCATCATGCCATGTTGGCAGTCGACAAGAGCGTGGAAAGTCAAACGTTGTTCAGTTTTGTAAACAACTATATAGGTTTCTTTGATAGTTTTTCTATACTTTCGGGTAATTACCAATGTTAGAATGCATGGAGATGGAGCTACTAGTACTACCACGATATTTGCTAATATTTTCATTTCATTTATCGGCGCTGGGATTTTGGGAATGCCTTTTGCCATCAAAGAGGTGATAATCTTACCCATCTTACTGTCCCTACATGATTGACTTGTGCGACTTGTAAGTCTTATAGTATTTCTATTCGATTAGGCTGGTGTCATTGAAGGCAGTGTTGTAATGGCTATAGTGGGTATTGTTAGGTAAGTGAGTCTTTTTCGGGTTGCTCAATCTCAGTTACCAGGCTGTGGCTGACCAGCTTAAGCTTAATTTTTTTTAACACATTAAGCTTAATCTTATATAGTTCATCCTTCTCTTTCTATAAAACGTAATTTAGAGCACGAAAGATAAAAGAGACTCATGTTTCTTCAGATAATCAAAGACAAGCAAGATATCATTTTTTTAGACGTTTCTTTCAGTCTTGGCACTTTAAACACTCACCATTCAAGACAGAAAACTTTACCACTTTCCATTAGTTTAACAATGATCTATAGTTTTATAAAATTGAGTGTAGTTTTAATGATGGGGTCCATGTAAGATAAATGGTAGAGGAGGGTATAATTAAAAAGAAAAAGATAATTAAATAAATTGAATAAGTAAAAGAAAAAACAACAACAATATCTTCCTAAGTAAGGTTGCCATCAGGCTATTATTAACTCATTCAGAGTGAGCAGAGTAATGGTATTGTAGGCAAACTTGCATTTGTTGAGGTGCAAGAGAGATTATTGAGATGATTATAAATCCGAGGAATGAAAACAACGAAGTATTTTGTACTCTAAGACTCGTTCCTTAATCCAAAACTTGGGTTTTCTCAATGATGTTTTCCTTCCTTGGACTTATAATCATCTCAATGTACCTTAAATAGTGGGATTGACATGGATTCGAGAGAGATTATGAGACATAATTCTAACATTTTCAGTGTAAAAGCCATGCTTCTTGTGATTGACTGTAAGTATAAAACCATCCAAAAAAAGTGTGGTAATGGAAAGTCTTTGAAAGCTAAAAATAGTGAAGCCAGTTTTAAAGGAGAGGCAAAGCAACCACTCTTTGTTGAAGATGGTAAAAATCTCAGAGAAATGAAGGTAAGAATTTTTTTATATTTTCCATGATGCATAACCAGGTGTAATCTAAAAATAAATTGAAAATTGTGAATTGTTTTTGAGTCAAAATATGCTAATAGGACCAAGACCAAGAAATCGATTATGGAGATTTAGGTATGTAACTAATGTGGGCTAAATAAACAAATTTGATATCTGAGAAAATAATTAGTTTACAAACAAAAGTCACTTGTTTCAAGATATTCTCCTTTGCAGCTACATGCACCATAATCTTGAAAGGCAGCGCCATGCCTTTACCTTGAAGCGAGACAACGTTTTCCCATTGAGCGTGCAATGATAGATACCTGTGAATAATTGTCTGTAGGAGTGAAAGAAGGTTTCTATCATTGCACGCTCAATGGTCGTCTCGCTTTGATGCAAAGGCAAAGCTACCTTTCAAGATGACATAGGGAACTATAAAAAAGACTATATTGTTCTCTCATGATTAATTTTCAGTTTCATAGAAGGGCTTGAAATAATGGCCAGACATATGCAGGACAAGATGTCCTTAATTAATTTTTGGAAGGTCAATGTCGAATTTTGAAAGGACAAAAACTTGATTATACTATTATTTTCTTTTAATTTAAAGGTTTTTGTATTCAGAAAGATCGGCAAGCATTTTAATGGCTTGTAAAAGATTTATTTAGTGAATTGGGAATTGATTGTTTGTTTGTTTTTTGTCTAAAAATGTGTGAGGTCATGATTTGTCCTTTCAAAACCTGATTTGGCCGGGCATCTAGAGAATTTGGAAGGACATTGTCCTTTGAACTAAGCACTGCATAGTTCCTGTTTATAATTGAAGAAATCTAGATTCCTTTAAATAAGATTAACTATGTACTTTGATTATAGGACTATACGCACTTGGTCCAATAGGGAAAATGCTAGTTGATACAAGTATAGTTGTTTCTCAAATTGGTAAGTTTGTAGTTTCTATTCGGATTGGCAGCAGTTTATCTGTAATTGCTATGTCTGTATATAGCATGCTTTGTTTATTGTCTCTCTGTTGGTTGCAGAAATTAATGTCTGAACTTTCCTTATAGGTTTTTCGTGTGGATACCTTATTTTTATATCAGAAAATATAGCAGATATGACATCAGACCATTTTTCAAAGTATGTAAAACTAATAGTATATCAGCCATTTTATTCTCACTGGTAAATTAATTTTGTATAAAAATATTGTAATAATATTGCAATAAGTGTTCTTATTTTGCACAGATTTGCAGTGTTAATGGCCATGTTGCCACCTCTATTAGTTCTTGTAAATTTTAGACATTTAAAAAGATTGGCTATATTCAGGTAAGTCACAATGGCTATTCTGTAGTCACGTTGAGCATGAAGTACAGATCTCTCTTAAAACTATTTACCTGGGCTTCCTGTGGAAGCTCACATCTTAAAATGCAAGTGGACTTTTCTCTTTTGTCTTCGTGAATATTGGACTTCAAATTGGTAGCGCCTGCGTTGCAGATGGTCTGCAGTCTCAGTTTCCATTACGAGATTCAAACATAGTTCTTACATGATTCAAATGATCAAAATATTACTCAAAGTTATACAATACTGACAAAACTGCAAAGACTGTACCGCTTCTATTGTTTATATGACCTTTCAGGATATCACGGTCGAATTTGCATATTTTGAATAACAGAGGCGCTCTTAGAGCGTAAAGTTGAGCTAGCTATTATGGAAAACTGAGAAAGACAGGATATCTAAAAAAGTTACTTTTAATAGTTAGAGTTCAGTTCGGTAAAAAATTATGATGTAATAAATAACATATATTTAACTTAATTCTGTCTTGACTTATTTCAAACAAAGACTATATTGTGAAAATGAAACACTTATAGCTCAATGGCGGCAGCTTACCTATTATCGCAGCTACGGGAAGCCCACATAAGCGATCCATGATCGTCTAGTTTGAAATAAAACCAAATCATTCTGCCTTATCCATATTAATTTAACACTGAGTGACAAAGTTTTTCATTCATTGCTTTTCATGGTTGATTAATGCTACTATAAAATGTTTTCAACTTTGTCTTTCAGTATTTTTGCAGACTTTGCAAATGTCTTTGCATACTGTGTTGTATTCTGGTTTGACTTTGAACACTTTGATAGAGTTCGGTAAGCATGACTATAGAAAAAATAATATATTTCAGATATTGTTTCTGCTTTTTAATATTAACCAGTCATCATTTCTTACTTTAGGCTGCATCCCACACTAGCAAACCTTGATGGTTTACCATTTTTCTTAGGAATAGCTATATATTGTTATGAGGTTAGTTCAACACTAATTATTCAAAAGTTTTTCCTAAGAACCATATGATAAAAGTATGGAACATACACTGTTCTTACAAAATTAATATTCCCTAAAATATTGCTAGGGGGCATGTCACTACTCTGTTTGACATAGATTTCCTTGTTCAAGAGTGGGAAAAAAAAAGAGTGAGATTTTTGTCAAACAAGGAAGGGTGATACATTCAAGGATATTGTTTTATCATGAAGACTGTCAAGACTGCTTCTGTACTGCATATATTACCCAAATGCAAAAAACAAGATTGAGTGAGTGAGGACATTATACTCAGAGCCATTTATATAAAAAACAGATGGGGTGAGGTTAAGAAATCAAATTAACTATAGTGCTTGGTATGATATTGAACTAAACACTACAAGAATGTAATATTGGTTACCAAAAATTGTCTAGTGGCCCGGGCTAGAGTGTCCTCATGTAGAAGACAAAAGAATTTACAATTAATTCCAAAAAGTGTATACCTGAGAGTAATAGTGTTTCAATGTGTCATAGGGTGCTGGTATGATATTAGCACTTGAACTGTCATGTGCCAAAGAGGCAAGACCAAAATTTAGAAAGTAAGTTAATTTATCATACATTTTCCCTAAAAAATAATTAACAACAAACTAAATGTTTACAACTGAATGATTTTATAAAATATAGATTGTATCAGACTGCTGTTAATTTGCTAACTTGCCTTCAGAATATTCAAGTTTACATTGGGTTTAGTTACAACTCTTACTATAACCTTTGGAGCTTGTGGATATCTGGTGAGAAATACATGATTGTTTTATAGTCTTTCTAGTGCACAATCAGACTAATCAGTCACTTTGCTTTGCAGTCTTTTGGTACAACAACAAGGACCATTATTACTCTTAATCTTCCACCTGGTAAATATAATTGAGCTGTACTCTCAGTTGCTAAATTTTTCCATTTATGTGCATGACATAGTTCTTTCCTTTGATGCAACACCCAATGTCAAATATGTACTCATTCCTTAGATCCAACCAGTCTTTGATCTGAAAGAATAACATGGATTTCAATGTTTTTTTTATAGGACCATTTCCAGTCATTGTTAGAAGTTGTCTTTGTTTTTCATTGTTTTTTACTTATCCAGGTAAGTGTAATTCATTCAAAGTTTTCATATTCATCCAATGGTTATTTTCCCTGATGATGTTGTGCAACCTTTGGTGAGGTTTGGTACAGCTTTGTGTTTCATTTTGTAAGCTCACAAGAGCTCTTGTGTAGGCATCAAAAGCATTAATATTGTATCAATACCATCGAACACTTTTCCAAGACAACCATGGCATCATTTGGCAAAAAGACCATTTTTTACTCTATTTGTTGATCTGACCCTGTATCTTTACGTCTTTCCAAATCCACTTTAGGTTTCTTCTAGTTTCTGTGCATTCAGTCTAACTTATATCATGTAAATAGCAAAGTCATGTATTGTGTGTTTTTCAATTTTTTGCAGTTATGATGTTTCCTGCAGTTGCAATTCTTGAAAAACAGTTTGTTGAAGATAAGAAATATCAATTTTACTATGGGGTAATTGTCATCCTCTGTGTAAATTTGAATGTCGTTTTCAATAAGTAAACAGCTGTATAGCTGCTTCAACTTGGTCCCAGTACTTTCCACTTGGATACAGAAACCTGTAAAACTTGCCAGAAATGCACCTGAAATTAGGCTCTAGCTTTTTTTGGTTTCCAACACAGAAACAACACCTTCAACAAACCATCCCTTCTTCACAAAACACATAGAACAATAATCGTGTTAATTGGACTATTTCCTCATAAACTGTTACCTTTCTATACAATATGTAGCTTGTGACTAATGCACCTTGGCTTCTTTTGTTATAATTGTACATGCCTGGCTGTTATATTCTTTTGTTCTTTATTTTTCAAGAGATTTGTGGTCATGTTACATGCTAACCAATAATGTTTTCTTCTTCTTGTAGAGTCTTATAAGGGTATTAGTTGTAGTCTCAAGTGGACTCATTGTCATGGTTATTCCAAATTTCTCCATACTTATGTCACTAGTTGGTTCAAGTTGCTGTACTTTATTGTCATTTATCTTCCCAGCACTGTTTCATCTAAAAATCTTTCAAGAGTAAGTGCATTTTATACAGGGTTCATACTATTGATTGAAACCTTTGCAAAACCCTTGAAAAACCACTCCTTGAACCTGATGAAATTGACCTGTTGCTGTTTACCCTTGGATTGAAATGTGAGGGTACCGGTAATTTTAAAAATCAAAATCTGGAAATATAAAAAAAGGTCCTGCACTATTGTTTCATTAATATCTATTAATTTGTACAATATGCAGTATCATGCAGAATTTGAAGATACAATTTCCTTGTACTTTCCAGTGAGTTAACATTTTCACAAAGAGCTACAGACTTTTTTATCATTGGTGTTGGAATGATAGGGTAAGTGCAAATGCAGTAACCATAGAGTGGATTTCGTATGACTGTGCAAAAAAACGGTACGTTCGTCCTGTGTCCGTACCGCGCCGTAGCTGTGATGCATTGGAAAATCTTTACTTTCATTTGAAATCCTAAAAGTCGAGGTTCCGTGACCATGCCGTGTCCGTGTTGTAATCCGTGCTTTTGCACAGTCATACGAAATCCGCTCTAAAAATATGAGAGAATAAATCAGTTCATATTAGTTGAAGTTATTTCAAAAATAGTTTTTGGATAGAAATAGAGAATTTATGACTGAAAGGTAAAGTGATAGTTGAACAAAGTTTTAGCACAGATCTTTGCTTGAGTGATATTAACTGCCTTTGATCAATTAGCAGTTAATATTTACTATCAGTACTCTCAGTAGCATTTCACATTGCATCTCTGGCTACAGAGTTTTACATCATGAGAATTACCACGACAATGATCATGCATGCTCATTTCTCAGTAGCAATAAAATGTTTTTTTTTTCATAGGACACTTATTGGGACTAGTGATGTTATTAGGAGATTGAGGAGTCATTGACATTTTGGCATCCAATATTGTATACAGGATTTGTTTACATTATGACACAACACTGATGAATAAAATATTAGTAAATAGAAAAGTGAATATGTATCTATAGTATTAAGAGTTTGCTATTTTAATTATACTTATCCTTCTTATGCAAGGAATTGAAGTGCTCAAAGGTGTATAAATATAATTTTGTAAGTTAAGGTTATTGTACTATGATATTTTAAGTATGTATTATAATATTTGGTATATTGTTATATGCTCCGATTGGTCTTTTCAACCATTTCTCTAAAATTTCACACGATTGGAAAAATTTAGATGAAAACATGAATATAGAACAAATGGATTCCATTTTCATTTTTCTGTGTAACTGGACTTCATAGAGAGCATCACGTGTACAGCAAACAGCTAACAACAGAGCTGAACCAATGACCTAAGAATTTTGTGCCTGGCCATGTGCTTTTGGTAGTCATTTGAAAGAGAGACTTTTCACAATTATGGCAAGCCCAAAATAACTCTCACGTTGAGACTGCAATGTTAAACCCCCAAAAAGCAAGTCATGTGATCTTTTCTGCCATTTTCCGTGAACATCATGCTTAACGTCTCTAATTATTGGTAATTAACAGCAGAGGTCAGTCTGCTGTCAGTGTGTGATTTTGTCAATCATCTGTGTTATACATGTATCTATTGAAGTACAGGTGCACAGAAATATCATTCATTATTATTTATGAATATGTATGAGATACAACAATACGTAATTGTATACATTATTGACAAAGAGCTTATTTCATGATATTTGCATTACTGTATAAATTAATGTCCAATTATATTAGTTATACATAATATATTATGCCCTGACAACAAATGCCATGCAGATATTTTCATTTTTGTAATCTAAGGCTACATTAGTGAAGGCTAGACTAAACATAATTATATTATCTTTTTTTAAATGTTTCAAGTTTTCATTTGATGTTTTGCTTTTCAGACTCATTTTTGCTGAGCTTTACTTTTTTTTGTGGGTGGTGAGACATTTTAGCCAAGTTCTAAACATTCAGAGGTCTGTAAAATATAAAGTTTGGTTCCAAAAGGAAGCAAAGAATGAAAGGGATGATAACTGTGTTGCAGTACAGCCAAAAGGTTGTGTGCATTGAATGATATAGTGTATATCTGTTTATTCACTGCAGCAATAATCCAAAATGGAGCACAATAAGATTTTGTACAAATTTAATTTATGCAATTTTGTTTTACTAAGGATTGATAGTTATATTAATCATTTGCATTCTCAAAATTCATTTAAAGACAGTAAATATATTTTGTAAAAGGGTCACTGATATGGAAATGAAGGAAAATAAATTTATATAATTATTAATGTTATATTGTGTATTTTTTTAATCTTGTGGTACAGTCATGTTGTATATGAAAAATGATGTGACTTAAGTCCTTTTCTGCCTGTCAATTTTAAGGTCAAATCTTCCAATATCTCCTTCATACACTGCAGAAAGGGATAATAAAGTTTTTGCTTATATTAGGTATTTAAATCTTCATAAACAAAGCTTGAAAGGTATGCCATTGGTCCCTTGCAAAATATAGCCATCAAGACACTGTGGTATGCTTAGTCTCCCTCCCAGCTAACTCCTTTTTTCCTCCAGTAGTGAAAGAGAAAGGAAAAATAAGAGGTGCAGAAGCAATCCTATTCTGTATACTATAATTTATTTGTCAGGTTTATGAATACCACTTCATCCATTAGAAGTTGATTTGTTTCCCGAGGGTGTCAATGGGGTATGCCTGTAGTCAGTAAACAGTTAACAAATCGCCATTTAGTCAGTAAACAGTTAACAAATCGCCATTTAGTCAGTAAACAGTTGAAAAAGCCTTACATAGTCAGTAAAATGATGTTTTGTTGCATTGTTTCCATGGTAACCAAATATAAAACACATCTCTACAATAACATTGGCGTTACTCTTGTCACACATAACAGCCTTATACGCTAGTCAGTTAACCCCATTGACAGTCCCTCTTTCCCAGGTTTAATGCAGTTGATTATGCACAACAAAACAGCTTTTAAAACAAAATGACATTAATTATTTTTATTATAACTGAATTATAGACACTTAAAAGCTCACAACTGATTGTCACTTCATTTTTTAAGACAGTGGGATTTTATTCTCAAATTAATGAAAATTGATTTCAAGTAAAAATAGAAATAGGAAAAAGAATAAAGATGTTTTTAGTGTTTTCATGAGGAAAACATGTTAGAGTAGACTTGTCTTTCTTTTTTCTTCTGCTCCTCCATTAATTTCTTCACTTTTATAATTTCATTTCTTATTGCTAAAAGTAAAAACCCAGCATAAGTATATAATATTCTATAGAAACTGACTGTATTCACTGGTTTCCTTACGCGCAGTGCAGGGAAATTTAAGACAGGTTACTGGCAGACTGGGAGAAATCCAATCTCTCTCAGTCAAAAAAGAAATATTTTTCACAAGTTATTTTTACCTTTGTCTTTAGGTTCCAATTTAACAGCTTTTTGTAGATCATTCTTGAACAAAAATACATAAAATATTATTCATGTTTTGCTGAGTGCACCGGTCTGATAACTTTGAGTTCTGAATAGGGTTGGGTGCATTGTGTAATCATAAGTAGTGACAGATGTGTCACAAAGTTTTTTCTCTGAGTTGTAAGTCATTTTGCCCTCAAGTTCAAAATCAATGTGAATTGTGCATAAATTGAAATGTAAAATATATAGTTTTAAAAATGAAACAACAGCCTTCAATTTTGACATGTTTTGGTGATCAATCGCCTTCCTCAGATACTTCAATGGTACTGTATAGTGTGTGTATAATATATGTAAGAATTAGCATAAATACAAAGAGTATACTTAATAAGGTTACTGCTTTTAAAATATATAGGTAGATAAACTGCTGAGTAAAGATTATTACAAACAAACAATATTCCAGTCATTCTTACCATAGCACTGCTATAGTCATGCATGTTTGTATTAGCCTGAGCACGACGGAATAAAGCCTTGATATTACTTTTATCATAATCTAATGCCTGTCAAAAAGGACAAATATATTAATATCATGCAAAACATAGATCATAAAACTAATGAAACAAAGTGTATTCAAAATAATAAATAAATAAAATAACAACTCTTTGGTCTTCCTGTGTTTGACCAACACAGGTAACCCATTACTAGTTACATACCTCATTACAGTCATTAACAGCACCGGTGTAATCATGCAGCTGAAGTTTGCATGCAGCACTATAAGAACAAATAGACATCAATGAGCAATTGTTTTGCAAAACACCTCATTTTAACACTTAGACTCCCAAAAATCGATCCAAATTTGTGTCATTTTAGGTCATTTTATAAGCGCTTTGATATATCTAATCACTTTAAATTCGTTTGACTGATCTGCTTGGTTTTCACAAGGCCATAGTTTCGTGAAGATAAGGAAATATGTTCTGATACCTGAATTATCATAACTTACCTATTGAGATAACAAGGGAGTGAAACAGACCAAATTTTTTTATGTTTATCCATCCTTAATGATTTTTGTTCTTCAGTTTCTTGACTTTTATCCTTATCATTCTCTTCTTTATCATCATTGTCACTGTCACTCGAGTCCTCCTCCAACTGCTCTAGGTACCTTATGTTCAAACATATAAATAGATAAATGGTCTTCTATGGTTGTTATATATTGCTATGCAAATAGGCAATCAGCACCCTAATCTACTTTTTACTGCATAAAATTGCTACATTATGTCGTGCCATTCTAGATTTCTGAACTTGTATAGCACAATAATGTATAATCACTTCTTACCTCAGTGCTTTTCTATATTTTTTCCCAGCCATTTCATATTTTTTTGCTTTGAACTGTTCGTTTCCTATCAACTTTATTTTGTCGGCAACTGAAACCACATCATCCACCTATTAAAAACACAATGTTTCCAACCAAATTGAGAGGGCTACATCAACAAATTGATAAAGTTGTGAATTTTTCATTAATGATTTGAAAGAAAAACAACCTTCTTAAAATCTAAATCAGAATCTGCAGGCCAGTCTGGAAATAAATCTCCTGTTCCATCATCAACACAGATGCCATCATCATCCCCTTCTTGTAGCTCACCACAGTTTTCTATGACACAAGGCTGTTGACATAAACAAAAATTTGATTGATATATACTGTCTTATAGGATTAGAAATCAAAGATAAAGTTTTTTATCCATTCATTTATATGATGGTAATATTCAGTCATTTACAGCTGCATGCATTTCAGTCAGTGTAAAGAAATGATGAAGGGCTCACCTTACGAGGTTTACTGTCATCAACAGGAGTGTTTTCGAGTTCTCTAACCACATTCATTCCCTTAACAACTTTGCCAAATACAACATGCTTGCCATCAAGATGAGGTGTTGCTTCACAAGTAATGAAAAACTGTGAACCATTGGTATTTGCTCCAGCATTTGCCATGGACAATAGACCTTCTTTCTCATGCTGTACAGACAAGATAAAGAGCATTTGAATAGCATCCTTAATACATATAAAACAAGCAGGAAATGCAGAGCATATTTTTGGTTTGGTGAGGGGTGAAGGCAAAAACCACTGACGCCTCGGTCAAGTAGGATGGGGGAGGGGGGGGCATGAATTTTTTATACTTCTAAGAGGGCTTCAAGAACCTATTTTGTATTCTATAAAATTCTAGTTATAACAAAATAAGGACGCAAAATATACTTAGAATCAACATTATTAAGTAGGTTTGCACTTGAAGCACCTTGTGTTCAAAGTTTTCATCTTCAAACTTTTCTCCATATATAGACTCTCCTCCTGTCCCATCTTGGTTTGTGAAATCACCGCCTTGTACCATGAACCCCTTAATGACTTAAAAGAAAAAGGAATAATCATATGGATACCACTAAAATATGCTTTGTATATTATTCTGCAACAGTTGCAAAGTGTTTACTAATCTAAGCCTGATTGTATTTAAAAGGTGACTAGTGTTTGCTTTGCTTTAGAACAGAAAATAAATTTGTCTCAATGGATCTTCTTTGGAATAATAGTAACAATCTGTAAAGGCAATTAGTAAAGATATGAATACAACGAATTAGCGAGTGACTGAAGCTGGAATAACTACATGGCAAGAAAACGTAGTGCTTTACTTACTTCTGTGAAATATGCTACCTTTGTAGTGGAGTGGCTTTCCTGATGATGTGCTTCCCTTCTCTCCAGTACAAAGTGCTCTGAAATTCTCAGCAGTTTTGGGGCATTTATCAGCAAATAGCTCAACGAGTATTCTACCAACTAAATAATGAAATGACAGTTTATTAGTAGTTAGTAACTTTAGAATTTATGAAAATCAGCGTGGAGTTCAGAAAAATATTATATATTGTTCTAAAAATCATATGGATATTCAATACTCAAATCAAGCTTATATAATCTTGTCATATGATATTAATATATCAGTTTTGATCGTATTTGACACAATGAAACACGTGGATCCTGACACTTTACATGTGGAAACTTTTGAAAGTTATCTCTGTCAATAGTTTAAATGAAACGAAAGCGATTGTAAATAAAAACAATGTAAGTACAAATAAACTTGAATATCTCCAAGCAAACAACATCAAGCATTAATATATCTTAGTTAATCGTTGCAAACTTGAACGGTGATTTGAAGTTGAATGGGAAACACCTCACGCCCACAGTCTGCATGTATGCAATTTAACATTTTCTAGTTTTCAAAGACATTTTTCTTACCTTTCTCCCCACCAATAGTTATATCAAAGAAGCATCTTGGATTTCTTGTACTTCCGTTTTCAGACATTTTGAATTATTTGTATTACATTCGACACTTCAATCTTCGTGAGCTTTTTACCGGTTTTACTTCATTGCGTGTACCATGTATGGGATTAGCCGCTGGTCATTCGGAGACTGGGTCTAGTAAAAAACAGCAAAAAATGCTTTTAAAAGATTCCAATTTTTAATTTTAAACAGTTCATACTTTCTCTCTTTGTATTATATATATAAAAGGAAGTATTTTCGAATGTCTTCACAGTTAAAAATGAGAAAAATTAACATTGGTTTAAATGACCGAGCAAAAATAATCTGCGCATATAAAGTGGTAAACACCGCTGACTCAACATACTAGTATTACTAATCAAAATCAACAAAATATGAAATAAATGAAATATGTCCTCAAAGGTCAAATCTACTTTGGTGATAGGTGGAATTGTTGCAATAACAGCAGCTGCTTTGTTTCCCATTGTGATTTACCCAAAATTATATCCAGAAGTCTATAGTAAGTGTGTTGACGTGACAATAACTAGAATATTACATAAGTAAGTTAGTTATATTAGCATGCATGTATGGCTGATTTGTAGCATCATACCATATTCTCTCAATCTGCAAAAATGCATAGCCAGTTAGAGCACAGGGAGCCTAAGGTGTCTGCTATATTTTCCCCACAATTTTACTATAATTTCTTTGCAAAATATATTTATATTTTTAAAATAGACATTTATCTATTTAGGGGACATTCAAAAGGAAACTAGAAACTCTATCAACCAAGAGGACATACAACCAGGAAGTAAGACAGTTCAATCAAAACGAATGTTGGAACCAACAGAAAGTTTATCTGAAAAAAAAAAAAAAAAAAATGAAAAAACTAGTGTTTATTATAGCTAGACTTGTTATACAATACAATAAATATTTATTTCTGCACATAAATAAGAAAGGGAAAAATACAAGAGAGTAAGTTAAAGATAATGTGGAGGACGTGTGAGAATAACCTGAAGTTTACACAAGCTCACACACCCTGTGTAAATTGATAAAAATTATATTATAATGTCAATAATATATACTTGCATTGTTTGTTTTGTATTTTGATGTATTTCATGTTACCATCAAAGTTATGTAATCAGGGGCGTATCCAGGATTGTCACTAGGGGTTCTTACATACCAAATTGTCACTATGATGCCATATGATTTGAATTGAAACGAAACAGCCCCAAGAAGACTGAATTAAGTCCCTTGATAATAATTAATCAGTTTTATTTTTCATTTTCATTTCAGATATGAAAGTGTGGTCAGATCCTTTCAAAAAGCAGTGAAAATGGACATTACAAAGTGAATATCAGGATATAAAATACAGTAAATCTCAGCCATTTGCAGCATATGACTACTGAAATAAAGATGGGAAATGAAGCTTTTCAACACCAGACATTGTGGAATAGTGAATGTTCATGACATATTAAATAGGATATATTCAGGATACAAACAGTCAGAATACAATTACATCACAATGTAGACTATTCAAACTACTATCATTTGTAGACTAATTAATCTTGTAATACTAATTACAAGATTTCACTGAAACTATGCTTTATTCCATGAAATTATATGTGTTTGTACATTAAAATAACCTTTTTTATCAATAGTAATAATTTCACTCCATGTGTATGATTGGTAATAATTTAATGAACATTATTTTAATGTGTAGTATTAAAATGCACAGACACACTCAGACAGCTATTGTTCAACATAAAATTGTTGAAAGTGCAATAGCATGGCAGTTTTTTTTATTCATGGCACTATTAGAGTGAATATGCTTAATTTACAAAATCAAAACAGTACAAATTTGTATTTGAAATCCTGGAGTTTGGATTATGGAATCCAACAAGGTGAAAACAGTTCTTTTTTTAATAAATATGCACTGAAGATAAGTAAGTATAATAGGTTCTTTTATTATATCAGCTACTGTAAAGTCAGTTGAGCACTTTTTAGCTCCTGGTGAACCTTTTCACTGAATAGGTTCTTTTATTAGATTTCAAACATACAACACTGTCCAGCAGCTTTTATTTGTGGCATAATATACCCCCATCTGAAACATCTTTCCCATACTTGATCTAATTGTGTGACTATTACATTCCATCTTTGTATGTTCCATATAGCAATTGCCATGACTGGCAGAATGCTCTTGAGGGTCCTGTCGATATCTTGCATTAACCACAGAAGAAGGATTGCAATTAGAAAGGCTTTATTACTACCTCATGATAAACTGCAGTCAGATTTTTTATTGTCACTTTGTTGACCCTGGAATTCAAAGGAAGTTATTCAAACTTTGCAAACACCTTGAATTGTAAATATATTTCAATTACCCTTTGTCGTCTTTCTAATTCTTCTTTCTCTGATTGTGCTAATGCTTGAGCCAGTGCAAGGTCCTCTTGTTCTTGTGCTGTTAATTGTCTATTTGGTTCAGAATTGGATGAACTTGACCCTGATTGAGTACTACTAAGTGAGGCTTGTATTGCAAGGGCTAAAGCTTCATCTTCACTCTAAACAAATAGAAAATATAGAGTGCAAAACTGAAAAAAGGCATTTAGAGACTGAGATATGCATTTCCCAAATACAACTCTATCATTCAGATCCATTCAGTAATTGCAACATACCATAGATGTGTGCTGTAATTGTTGGGGTTTTTGTTGAGCCAGTCTTTCTCTTCTTTCCCTTAAATAAACAGCCATCTCTAAAAAAGTGTTTGATGTCTCCAACTATGTAATAATCAAACCAAATGTCCAAGCTTACCTGTCAAGATCTCTTCCAAAAGATGATAAGCTAGTCTGCTGTGGTCTTGTTCCAGAACTACCAGGCTTGCTTTGGAATCTTGCAACTGCGGCTTGTCTGGAAATTCATCAATAATTTCATCATCAATGTTCACTCTATTAGTATATCATTATGCCACTTGAAGATCAAAGGACTCCCAAAAACGATTACAGAATCCTGCCACAGGGATCCCAATAAAACAAAATCCTAGGAAGATGACTCCTACTTACTAATTATGATATATGCTGAGAGTGAATTAAAAAAAGGAATAGAAACAAGACCTTGCAGTAGTTAAGATGGCAAATATCTAGGGATTCCATTCTCCTGAATTCAAGAAAAATTGCTTGAGTGGATCAAAAGGACATTTTTCTTGCTTCTTGATGTTCACTTTTTACCATTTTTGATAATTTTTGAAAAGTGAAATTGGCACCAAAGAAGACTGCTAAACTACAGACAAACTTAGAAGGCTATATTTCATTATAAAAATATGCAAGATATAAAGTGTAGCTCAAAGTAAAGCCCTGCCTACAAAGCAATTTTTATGTGGCAATTTTTATTGACAATTTTTAATTGCCCGTGTAGATGAGCAAAATTGGCCAATTTTTATGGGACAGCTGTAGTTGCTGGAAAGCTCAGGCATGCTAGTTTTTATGTGACAACTAAAAATTGTCGCATATCGAAAATTGCCCGTGTGGACGAGCGTCACATAAAATTGAGACATATAAGTTGTCAGATAAAAATTGCTTGTGTATACGGAGCTTAAATGCTTCTTTGATAATTATTACACTGTATACTTACCCTGCTCTTACTGATGCTGAAGTTCTTTGCCTGGGAAAAAAGTTCTTACATGTAAAAGTGTGAACATGAAAAAAGGACAGTTATCATTATGATTCCTACCCTGTTGTACTAGGCTGCACTAAAGCTGTACAATTATGATCCTGTTCATGTCTATGCTTGAGGCAGTAATTCTGACGGCATGATTCACATCGTACCTTCATAAACTACAGTGAAAAGACTTCATTTTCAGAATCGCAAAGCACAGAAAATTATCGCCAATTCACAATAATAAAAGCTATACCTCTTTTTGTTTGCAGCCTTTAACTGAACATTTATTTCTGATTTTCACTGCACGCTCTGATTGACAATCTCTATCAATATGCTCTCCAACCTAAAATTCACAAACTAATTTTAGGGAAGTTGACTTATCATTTAAAGATTTTAATGATATTCCTAAAAATCTTGATGTGCATCATGATACATCATAATGCACTTTATTCTTTCTTTTATATTTCACTTTTCCTTTCATTTTCACCTTGATATCAGGCTGCTGTCCTCTTGGTACTGGAACAGGTTGATTACATAGTGGGCAAACTGGAACCTGGTTATCCTGAAAAATAACATTATTTTATATATAATTTAATACTTTTATAGCTCACTTTAAAATATTTAATTGCCCTATGCATAGTCACACGTGATTACAGTGTTTGATTGGTTATTAATTTGTAGATATCATGTATCAGTTGCAGTTCAAGAGTACATGTGTTAATACTGTTTTATCATAGTCCTAGTTCAATAGTTATCATAATTTTGACATTTAGGGGAATTAGTATACAATTAAATGCAACAATCTAATAATAATAATAACAATAATAATATAACTATTGAATGACTCTTTATATTTAATGCCTTGAAATGTACCTTCTTGTAGGCTTGATTACAGGAATGTTCTGTGTATTTTACATGGTCTTTACTGATTGAATTGAAAAGTTGCAAATATAAACAAAACGAAAAAATAAAATGAAACGTGTGGCAAAAAGATTACAGCACAAGATAAGTAACATGTAATTAGTATATGATTTGAAGAAGAAATACCAAAAAATCTTGCTGCATGCATCGCACTTCATCGGCAAAAAATCTGAAAAATAGAAAAAAGGAAGCAAATAAAGTGCTTACTCACACCCGGTTTCACAAATGGCGTTTTAAACTGTTTAACAACTCAGTGACTGGATAATTTTCACTGTACTACACATTACCTAGTTGTTTACAAGTCGATAAAGCACATTGTTGTCCTAGATTAGGAAACTCCATTGTACACTGACAGCAGAATAAAAATTGATGTAATGGGAAGTATATGGAAAGCCGTAAAAATCATCAGTTCAACTTCCGCCAAATTCATACTAAGTAACCACGCCTTTTGTTTTCCGATAACTGTACGGGGAGGAACGGGGAGTGTTCGGTACAACTCGGAAGTATTCCGGAGATCGACGTACATTAGTGCCTTTGCGAGCCTCGTATGCATGTAGCGTAGGGCATCGAGCGAGAAGATGGCGGCTGTAGTGGGAAGATTTGTGAAGTTTTCCCTTCGAACTTCGCCATCTCTTCCCAGATTGTCGAGATGTTTTGGCTCTATTGGTAAGTTTAGTATCAGTTATTTCTTACAGTTCGAGCTATCCTTACTAGAATTCGGAGCTATCTGATAAAAATTGGAATAGTACAAGCTGTGTCTTACCCATGCTTGCTCTTTGGTTTTGAGATTGCGTAAGATAAATACGTAATAACTTATATTCACATAAAGAAAATTGGGTTTGTAGTGGATAGATTTATATATGTTAAGTTTACCAGGTGAAAAGTTATTCGATATCTTGGCTTAAGGCTTTCTTGTCTTGCTCAAAACAGTTAAGTATCAAGGTGAAAGAATAGAAAGCCGGGGTGCCGTCGTCTCTTGCCAGTCGTGTTTGCGGAGATGGCAGTCTACAGAAGGTGTCACATATGATGAAAGAACAAAAATAAGAACGTGGTTAGATAAGGCAAAAAACGCAAACTGGTTATCTCGGTGGATTAACGACGTCGACGAAATAGAGGACACAGTGAGTGTTATACATGTGATTTTGAACTGTAATAATTCCTGTAATAATTGTTTCATCTGTCTCTTCTCCTGGCTAGTTTCAGTGAGAAATCTCAATATTTTCGTATTCAAAGCTATACTCACTAAATGTAATGTTTGTTATATTGATATTTTAGCTTGTGATATTTCTTTCATATCTTTGCAGATGATGTCAGAAGAGGAAATTGAGGAAAGAGAGAAGCTCATACAAAAAGTAAAATTATATATTAATAGAAGAATTATGTGATAATTATGCACTAGTCAGAAGAATGCCCGACACCTAACTGCCTGGGGAATATGGGAATGAGTGGGGACTTAGCGAGGCAATAGACAGGGCTTTAGTACAATATTAGACATTCCCTCAAGCCAAATGTTCCACTGTTCCCCAGGTAGTTGGGTGCAGGGCTTTTTATTGACTAGTGCATTAGAAAATCTAAAACGGCTGTGTGTCTCTGACCCCTGATATAAACATCAGCACTTGAAATAACAGTCATGTAGGACAAGATGTCCTGCCAAGTTCATCTTTGGAGAGTCATTGATGTCAAATTTTGAAAGGACAAAAACTGTATACTATTATTTTCTTTTAATTTATAGGTTTTTGTATTCAGAAAGATCGGCAAGCATTTTAATGGCTTGTCAAAGATTTATTTAGCGAATTTGGAATTGACTGGGTTTTTTTGTCTAAAAATGTGTAGGTCAATTTGTCCTTTCAAAACCTGATTTGGCCGAAATTAGAATTACATTGTCCTTTGACTGACTGTTATTTCGAGCCCTGAAACATAGTAGAAGATTGAGGGCTAAGAGAAGCAAGTTTCTATATCGCCCACCATCTTAATATCAGAAAACAGAGATGCTAGCCACAACTTTATATTTCTTTTAATATGTTTTGTACCTTCTTCAAGTACACTTGAAATAAACCATGTTTCTGAACTCAATGAATACACTATATTGCATGAATGCTATTGTGGTATATTGATAAATATTTTTATTATTAAACAGATGACTGAAATGTATTTTGACAATCCCTCCAAGAAGTGGGATGCATCATTCTTTGAAGAAATTTTCAACACATTAATGAAGTATAATGACAGGTAATATTCAGTAGTCTCAGTCATGGTTTCTTGGGGAATCTGGAAAGATAGCCATTCCTTTTCATCAAAGCGAGGCGACTGTTGAGCAGGACATGATAGAAACCCTCTTTCAGTTACAGAAAATCATATATAGATATCTATCTTTGCATGCTCAACGGTCATCTCTCTTAAATGCAAAAGCACAGCTTCCTTTCAAGATGATGCACAGAACGTCTGTAAAGGAGATGAGACTGATGTAGAAATTCAAACTTGAATCCTATTGCAGTCAATTAAAAAAATCAATCAAAAAGTATGTAATCAATTTATCAAAACCCAGACTCCCTGAAGCCTGAACCTTGACTAAACCTCTATTCAGGCATGTTATTGTACATGTCTTCAAATAGACCTTTGTCATTTACAGTGTATTTTATTTATTAAGGGTTGGTTCTGAAATCTTTTTGGAAATGATGAGAGAAATGCAAGTAGATGTGAATCAACAGCTTATTGAGAGGGTAAGCAGCTTTGTTTTTACAAAGTTTGATAGGTTTAATACAAGTGAAGGATTAGATATTTTGGTTGAATATGTGACTTCATAGAGCCCTAAAAGGATATTAACTGAAATATTGCTTCCTGACATAGGTTGAGACATTTGTGAAGAAATCCAAAGATGCATCTTGGTTTGAAGATTAGATTTTAACAAAGTGTTGTCTTTTTGTGACATCTGTCTTCCTTGTAAATAATTTGAGTTTAGAATGACTAGGAAGAAGAAGCAGTGTGCATGCTATTAATGTACTATAATAATACAACAGTTTGAGACTGCTTAGCTTTAACAATCATTGGACTAGGGATGGAATTATTTGACATTTTCACTAAATAGAAGTCCCTTGTTCATATTTTTTATTGTGATGACAAATTAAAACCTTCTATCATAAGGTAGTCAGAGTTATTTTTTTTCTGGAGATTAGGGCCTGTCCCTGCTCTCTTTCTTCCACCTATCATATACTCCTTTGTAGTTGAAAGCCTGTTTTAAAGTCTAATAGCAAAGTAATCAGTCCCAGAGTGTTCACAGCTAATATCAGTGATGTCTTGATACTGTAAAGACTCTAGGGGGAATCCACTGAATTTGATATGCTTTTCCGTGTTTTTTTGGTTTACCTTTTTTGGCCTTACAGTCTTAAAATTTACAGCACTTGGCACTGTAAATAAACTTTGAGAAAGGGTAAATTCCAACCACTGGTGCCCAGGGCAAAAAGCTTGGCAAACTTCTCTTTAAAAACGTTTTGACTACAGTAACAAGGGCGTGGTCAGTGAAGAATAGTGTAATTCCCTCAACATTTCTGGCCCACTTATTGGCAAAGGTCTGAATGTTATAACATGTATGAAATAAACTGTTTTACAAACATCTTCCGACATCTTTGTTCAGTCTCGTGCCCAGTTTGCTTACATCACAATGTGTCTAGGCCCAGTCTCCAACCGTTTGCTGTTGAGTTGTGATTCAACGATTGTGAGTCTTGATTGTGATCTTGAATATTTTTTTAGTATATTCGCTCAGAGTAAAATTGGACTTCAATTATTTTACAATGGACAGTCAAAGAATAAGAAGTGGTACGCCCAACCGTCAAAAAACCGATGAAAAAGCTGCTGCACTCGATTCATTACAAGAGATGTTCAGTGGCTCACTAGAGCCTTCAGTTGTCAACTTAATTCTGTCGGAAAGTGATTACAATGGTTGGTAAAAGTTATTTTGTAATAGCACAGAATCATTTCATCCCGAGAAATGGGTTTTGATCAGCTGCCATTTAACGGTTAATGGGAAGAATGATGCAAATATTTCGGTTTGTGTTCGACGATGACGGGTCCGTCGTTTCCTTAGTTGTAAGTTAATATTTAAGCTAGCTCTTTCGTCAAAACTTTCTGTTTTGATATGTTGCAGTTGACGATGCTATTGAAAAGCTATTCACTCTAGCAAATACCAATCCTGTAACGCAGAGTAAACTAGATGCACACAGATCATCAACCACTGATAATGAATGCATACCAAGAGATGGTAATACAAGGAGTGGACGTCCTACTGATACTAAAATGGTATTATATGATTCTATCGACGATATTGGTTTGGACCAAGGAAAAGAATTCCACGGGTCATTTAATCCAAAAGGACATGTCCAAACTGGAGTTTCACATGTTGGTAAAAGGCTTGTTGATTCAGGTGATACTCTAGTAAATTCTTGCATCAGCTCTAGTTCTGAAACACAAAATCACGGCAGAAAAAGAAAAGAGGATGTAAATGAGTCAGAACTTTCAGAGCCCTTCAAACAGTTCATGAAGAATTTTATGTCTGCAAACTCAAATTCAAATGAATGGAGTTCCACCAAAAGTGTAAATCAAATAGAGCACAGCAGTCATTCAAATACTGGATTTAATGAAATGGATTCAAAAATGCCACAAGAAGAAAGTAATGGGTCTAATTTAAAAAGAACGTCACAAAGAAATAGTGCTAAAAGTTTGAATGATATAAGTAAAACTAGTAATTCAGCAATGAGCTCAGGAGAAAAGATGAAAAATGAATGTTCAACAACTCTTCCATCATGGCCTGATACAAAACAACTAGAGCATCATTTTCAAAATGAGCATCATCAGCCCCAGTTATGCACAAACGTTTCACACAATTTCAATGGTATACCACAAGCTCCTGTGCAATGTCATCCCCAAAACATAAGCTTTGTACCAAATAGTAATTTCAGACCGCATTATCAGCAGTTCCAGCCAAGAACAGGATATTTCAGTGCACCCTTTGTAAACCAAGCATTTCATATACCTAGATTAAGATACCAGGTACCAAGGCAACCAGTCAGACATTCTGGTCCAGGAAACTATGTGAGACATCGACCAGGCTATGCTTCACCACAATTCAGTAAGATAATAAAAATTACAGTTTTCATAACTTGCCATGAAAAAATATAACAGCTGAGATACCAGCTCAATGTCTGGTAAATGTCAGATTATACCAAACCATACAAATTATACATATGATAGCAAGTGCATTGCTTTGAATAATTGTTATCATTATGGTAAGTCAAAACAATTATTTATTGATTGATTTCACAGAATGTTTTCTGAAAATAGATATTATATGTAGATACTGTATTAATTTTTAGTTAATTTTTACATGTTTTTATAATTTTTCAATTCTTCACGAATAATTTAATTATTAATCTCTCAATCAGGGAATACTGCATTCATGTTACCTAGTGGAAAAGTGATAGTAATTATGCGTGGTTTACCAGGAAGTGGCAAGTCTTCTTTTGCCAGGTAATGAAACATGCAATTACAGTAAAATTCAGGAGTTTTAATTTAGTTGAGTGTATTGTTTAATGTCTTGTAGGGCTATCAAAGGAAATGGTGTGATATATTCTACAGATGATTATTTCATGCGCAATGGACAGTAAGGGTTTTGGCCATGTATAAATTCTATTCTATCATACATAATTAATGAGCTACTAGGCCAATAGAATGAGCCTATTTGGTCACATGCATGGACCTTTATATCTGATAAAACACTCCTTATTAGTATTCTTTATATAAAGAATACTAATAAGGGTGACCTTTATCAGATATAAAGGTCCATGACCCTAGCAAAGGTCTCAGGTTTGAAACTTGATCATTGACCAATGCAGGATGTCAACCGACTTCAGTGAACAGCCAAGAGCGGTTCTATTTTACTTTATGCGTATTCAATGTGGGATGACAAGAGTGCTTTGTAAAGTGATTCGCGCATGATCAGTTTGCCCCATTTATCTCTGAACATATTTGCACGGCAATTTCTCCAAGAATTTTAACAGATTTGAGTTTCAAATTAGTGTTGGAGTTTTTTAAGCCGTTTAAAACACTCGAGATCGTGTTTTATCAGGTATAAAGATTCTCGCCTTCGGCTCGAATCTTTATACCTGATAAAACACTCTCTCTCGTGTTTTAAGCTATACATTTACAAAATAAAGGAAATTTGATGTGTTTGTATTTTTTTTTTTTGTAGATATCAGTTTGATATTGCTTATTTAGGTGAAGCTCATGAGTGGAACCAAATACGAGGTTTGTTTTCTATTCTCTTAGAAAGTGATCTTTCCATTCCCAGTTCCAAATGCTTTCCCTATCCATTGACTGTGTTGATTTTTGTTTTGGGCTTCCTGTGTCACATAGTAAAGTAGATTAGACTTTATCTGGAAATTGAATCAATTAAGTAATTTCTTTTGTATGTATATTTTTATGTTATAACAGCAAGAGAAGCTATGAAAAGTGGGATATCACCTGTCATCATTGATAATACCAATATACAGGCTTGGCAGATGAAACCTTATGTATCTATGGTTAGTATGTTTTTAAAATGTTGCTATTCAGGTAGATTATTAATTAGAACCATAGTACTGTCATATGACATACTTTCAGTTGACTAGATTGTCTTACAAGGATGGAATACTAGTAACACATATCCACTAAATAAATTCAGCATGTGATATGCACAAAAAATAACTTATCCTTCATACTGCTACTGATAAAAGCTTATTTATTGACAAATGACTTATTTATTCAACTCAGTAACTGCCAACTATATTATTTTATAAAGTGGATCGACATTATGGTTTTTTATAGAGTAATTAGCTTGTATTTTTGCTTAGGCACAACGACTTGGTTATGAAATAATACTCAAGGAACCAGACACTTCTTGGAAATGGGATGCCAAAGAATTATTCAAGTAATTTTAAAATTATGGGACATTTTTTGTGCATGTTTTCAAAATGTATTTATATTTTTCACTAATATGTGATTAAAATTATCAATCAGTGATATAATAATTGATGTGTATATGTGTAAAATGAATTACAATGTGTTTGTTACAATTGTTTTCATGATGTTAACTAGTGCATATTGTGTATATAATACTTCTCCAACTCTCAAGGGCCATTTACATGACGTGTGTATATTGTCATCCACTCCAGAGATCAATTTTTATGGCTTTTATTCACTGAGTACATGTCTACTTTAAAATGTAATAGACGTAATTCACCAATAAAATATTGATTTAACGTTCCTATATTTTAATTTCCATTTGTAGGAGAAACCAACATGGCGTATCATTATCTCAAATAAAGAACCTTATGGAGCGCTATGAACATGATTTGACTACTGAACATATTCTGAAGTCAACTTCTTCTGATGCAAAGCCAAAAGAAGAGATACAACAGAACATACAACAGAAAACAGATACCAAGTTTGGATTATGTGAATCAAGTGTTCACGAAGAAAAACCTGGAAAAGTTTCAAAACAACAAGTGAATTCAGGTCAAAATGAAATAAGGAAACATATTAATGAACCTAAACATAAACATAAGGAAAGAACTGAAGAAAAGCAACCAATGACCAAACAAGGCATTCAGTTCAGTGACAGAAAGCACAACACCTCAAGAAACAATACTGAAAAAAAAGTAAATGACTTGTCAGCTCTACGTAGCCATGGTAGTAGATCACCAGTTGAAGAGTTTGAACAGTACATGGCTGATGAAAGAAAAATCTCAGAAAACAGTGCAAAACATGAAAGGAGAAATAATGGTGAAGAGAAAACTCCTTCTCCAAAACCACAGAGGGCGAAAAGAGAAAGAAAGACAGTGGAAAAATACCCTCCATTAAAAGAATCACAGCCACTAAGTGATGATAGTATTGAAAGAGTAGGTATGATTATAGGATCAAGTGCAGTAAAAATGATATCAGAAGAAGGAAGTGAACAAAGTGATTTAGGAGAGTTGTACAATCAACAAGATAGCATGGAAAGAGCCAATGACCACACTGAAGATCATAAATCAATGTTGTTTAGGGAAGAGAGAGAAAAAGGAGGCTGTTTTCCTAGTGATAACAAGGATGTCACTAAAGAGATTTTGACTCAGCAAAAGATTGATTTCAAGCTAAAGGCTTTGCAGGAAAGCGATATGGACAGTGAAACAGAAAACAAATACAGTCAACTTAGCACTCGCAGTATTAATGATGATGCTTATGCCAGTGATGATGAAGAGAGTGACGATGTCATTGTTGAAAGTGATGGTGATGATAAAGATGATATTGATAACAATGATGTCATAAAGCAAAGAAATGGCACTACCATTATCAAAAGTTCCTGTGATGTTGATAATAAAATCATAAATGATGTTTCAAGAAAGGATCCCAGCAAAACTGGTGAAGTGGCTTCATTAACAAAAACTACCAAAAAGACAGAAAGAGAAGAAATGTTCAGCCCATCTGCCAACTCCTCAGAAGACAGTGAATCAGATATGACAGGATTTGAGTTTCTGAATACCTGTTTTCCAGACATTGATGACCAGACTCTAGTTAATGTACTGTCATACCATGGAGGTGATGTTAACAAAGCTATTGAAACTATCCTAAACAATATGGAAAGTTATATGGAAGAAGCAAATCCAAACTTAGGTATGCAAAGTTCACATCATTACCTAATTATAAGGGCACAACTAAAGTATTATAATAATTAATGAAATAATGATAAGGAGTTTGTAAGTATTTTTATCAATCTAGACTTTATTATTGTTTATTAGTTTTAATGCCCCCCCCCCCCCCCCCCCCCCCCCCCCCCCACAATAAGGATTTCCACTTTTGAAAGAGACAGGAAATAATTGGAAGAAGAGAAAGATGTCAGCAGTTTGCATGCAGAAGTTGTCGCAGTCTGCTGAAGTCAGCTTTAGGCATCTCTATCAATATGACAATGATTTTGATGAAATATATTACATACCTTACAGATCCAGCCAATGGGAACAGCTCAAGCTCAGAAAATAATTTTAGAGATGACATTCATTTGAAGCCACCTCAGTGTGCTTCTAGTTCTGTGACATTGCCAAACAAGGCCAATCAGGGAAGTTTTCAGATGTCAATAGAACCAGCAGTAGCCTTTCATCTGTTTGAGATCTTTGGCCCAATAGATGGGGTCAATGTGAAAGGTATATAACRAATGATTTCAAATTGAGTTAAGATATCATTAATTCATATTTAATGTTTATCTGTACTGTAGGAGAATTTTCTGCTGATGATTTGAGTATAGATGTAGACATGGAGTTTTCCAAGCTTCTTTATCACCAGTGGAAGAAATCTATTCAGGTAAAAATGTTAAAATAGTAACAATAAAAAACACCCTATTCCAAGTTCCTTGAGATAAGAAAACATGGATTACCGTATTTACTCGAATAGACGCCGCAGCATTTATTTCATTTTTCCCGATCCAGTTGCACCATTTATTCTAGGGCGGCGTCTATTCAGGGGCAGCTTTTGTTAAAAAGACACTTTATTCAGTACTACATACAGTACTTTATATTGTATCTTTTTACTTACAAACAGTAATGAATCTCAATATATAAATTTCATGTTCATTTTGTCTATTCAACTTATGATTTTAACTAGTAAATCACAGGCTAATATCATTTTAATATATAACAGAAAAAGAAAGGACTTTCCAGTGGCTCTAGTGCACAGCAATTTAGATCACCAAAATCACAAAGAAAACAGAAACAAAGGACAAGATTAAACATCCATGATCCACCTCCTCCGCCACCAAAAAGTAAATCAAAGCCAACAGGTGGGAACTCCTGGCTTACTGTAATTGCTTGCACGGCAATGATGTAATCACATGCAGGTTGTAGTGTGCTATACAGTTGTTTAAGTGATGCACATACATCTTTGTTATAATTGCTTTATATGCTCTACAATGTGGCGAAAATGTAAATCAGGAGACTGTATGGCCCCATGTACAGTTAATGTGCACTTTGCAAACAGGTCACTTTGTCACATATTGCTCAGGTGTTTACATCTTTTTGCCTTTAATGAAACAGATAGAAATATTCCATAATTTGTAATTAAGTCTAGTGCTAACTATGAGCATTGTATTTTTTTTTGTTCTTGTGTAGATCTAAGGGAAATCATGCATGAACAATTGGCTCTGGAACAGAGTAGGCATGAGCTTGAGAAACGAGAATCAGACAACAACTTGGCAGTGGTTCTTAAAAGACAGAAACTGTATGCCATGTTTCCTGGAGTTGATCCTTCGGCATTAGAAGAGATTTTTGAAGCCAACAGGTAAAACTCCCTTCAAATATTTATTATGCTCAATTTTCTAATGGCAAACTATACAAAATCATCTAAAAAAACATGCAAGTAGTTGTGTAAAAAAGATAAATATTTAAAACAACTTACTGACATTTTGGATCTTAATCCTTCATCAGAGTAAAGATCACCAACTTTTTTAAGGTGTTAAATTTATCTTTTTACACAACTGTTTCTTTAGAAACACCAATGCAGCTCACACTAGTTTAGCGCCAGTTTTCACCTTTTCAAAAAAGTAGTAGTTTATTGTTAGACCCTATCCCCTGGTATTTTATATCCCTTAGACTTGCTCTAATTCTCTCTAACTGTTAAATATAATTCTCACCATTGGGATTTCTGTGTTGGAATTTAACTTTTTATTCAAGGAGCAAGGCTTGAAGGGGGAGGGAAAGGAATCACAACACAGGAATCCCATGTAACAGAAAGAATATAGGAACTTATGGAGAATAAGGGACTTGGAGCATGAAGTCTATAATATATGTCATGGCAATGCACTTTTTTTTACAGATATGAACTAGAGCCAACAGTAAACATGGTTCAGGTATCTTGTAACATTCAAGCAAAACCAACAATGTTGATTCAAGATGAGACAAAAAATGATAATGAAGAAGACTGGAGTCAATTTGCTTTCTTTCCTGGTGAGTAGTGCACAGGCAGCCCAACTATGCAATGCGTTTTTCTTTGATTCTCCTTTTGACAGTTCCCTTAGTTTCTTTGCATTTAAACAGTGGTTGAGTTTGGAGTGATAAGATTTTTTCCGCAAGTCTGACCATTATCCGTAGGTATCCTAAGCAAGCTCAGCCATGGATTCACTTTGATATAAAGGCATGATACTTCAGCTGCCACAAATGATAAACCAACAAAAATTTTGATATAATTTGTGGTAGAGGCTTTTATTGAATATTGTCATGATATTGTTGTTTCATGTTAATATATTTTTAGAAAAAGAAGAGAAGAGCTTTCAGACACTAGACCATCCTGACTATATGGACTTTCGTGGTGAAGCCAATATGCATTATAAATTAAGAGATGAATGTTTTAAGAAAGCAGCTTTAGCTTTTGCACAGAAACAGGGTGAACTTGCTCAATTTTATGCTTCACAGGTATATTACATTTAAAAAATTGTTTTGCTATCTCTGAGCCTTCCTTTGATCTTGTTTGTGGACAGAACTGGATATTAAGAAAGATGAAGGCTCAGGGTATAGGATTGAATGTTATATTGTTTGTTTATTGTGGAAATTATTGAAATGTTTACATGAATCTTCAGGGTCATCTTCACACAGAGAAGATCAAAGAAGCAAATAACAGAGCAGCAGCCAAGATTTTAGAGCATAAGTATGTAACATTTAGGTTGAAATAGGATATTAGGAAACTAGATATTAGAAAGTTATAGCATATATTATTTATTAAGTGGGGCCAACCAGTGAATACTGTCTTGTAAACATGTTAGTTCAGATGAAAATCTTCCCTAAAGGCATTATGTATAGAATGTCTGCCAAAAGTACTGGAGTTATTGAATGTTGTTTTTTTTTCTGCAGGAATGCAGATAATAATCCGTTTGTTCTTGATCTTCATGGGCTTCATGTACCTGAAGCATTGCAGGCATTGGGGGAAAGACTTAATCCTCCAGGTTTGTGAATTCAGCTAGTACAAACAGTACCTTTTTTATAATGAAACAGAGTAATAGAGTACTCAAGCACTTTCAGAATATGGAGGGCAAATTTAAAAACTCAAACATTTTCGTTTTGTGACGTCATCACTTGAGTACTCTATGATACAAGGATTGAAAACATACTGACATTTTGGACAATGGTCAAGTGTGAAAAGAGGAAAAAGTTACTTGCATTGGTGAATTATTTTGATATTTCCTTTGGAATTGTTCTTTGAAACAAATTTGGATCTGAGGAAAATGTGCATTGGAGCTGCATTTTATTCCTACAAGGATATATTGTCAAGCATTAAACATTGCTTGATATCTCTTTGCATGTTTTTCAGATATGATACACAGACCCAAATTCATCTCAGTGGTTACTGGGAGAGGCTTACACAGCAAACAAGGCAAAGCAAAGATAAAACCTGCTGTAATAGATTATTTGCAGAGGAACAACTACAGGTAATCACACCTTCATTCTGTATACCATATTACTTAGTGCTGGCTCATAGATCAGTTCAAAACCTCAATTCAAACAATTAATGCAGCTATATAGTCCAGTCAAATTAAGCCGAAAATGTGCTCAACCCTAAACAAATTGCAACAAAAGGTTTTTCAGCGGCTTCTTACTCAGAATTTATTYMTCTATAACATACAAAAAGTCCCAAAAAATCGAACTTCGGGAAGATGCTTAAAAATGCAATTTTTGTACGGCTTTCGACGATTCTGAGATTACGACATGAAAACGAGGCTGCAGGCAGCCTGCGGTTTTAGTAGCTGAATTTTGTCCATCTGTGATGAAAATTGACAATAATGTTAATAGGAAATAATGCTTGAAAACAAAAATTAAGGAAATATGGAGAGTTTGATTTAAAAATATTTGTAAATATAGAGATATATAAGCATTTGTTAAACACGAATAGTTCAATATAATTACAACCAATGCAATATTCCATTATTGCTATTATCTGTTTTAATTTAAAATCCTAAACTGTCTGTCACTGTTTTACTTAAGACTTGAGATGAAATGTTTCGAATTTGATTCTTTTATTGATTTTAAAAACACTATCCTTCAATCTAGACCAATCTAGCTTTTCTTGCATAAATTATGCGAAATCAATTTCATTTGCGTTTTGTACGACTGTCTCGTTCACTAGCTTGTTTGAGCGAAACGATATGCAGGATCTACGATATCTTCTAGTATTTAGATGCAGTTCTGGAAATACAAACC